AGCAGGGAGATAATTGATTAAAAGTATGATTAAGCGAGGGTATAATTTTAACGTAAAGAATTCAAAGAAAAATTTAATCTTGGCATTTCACGTGAAAAGTAATATTTAATTTGTGAAATAAGTCATTAACCGAAACGGAGAGATTGTTCGATAAATAGAAAGATGCATAGATGAATTTGTAGGTTAATTTACAAAGACATTTTATTTACCTAAGGGGAAGAGAAAGATTGATAGGTTTAAAAAAATTTTTTTTTAAAAGCCATCCTTTGTTTATGGAAAGTTATGTTATACATAGCCACCGCTTATTGAATCAATATCTCTATGAAATTCTAAAAGTCTAAAAAATCCAAAAAGACTAAGAAGGTTGCTTGGTATGAAAAAAGAAATGTATGACGAATAACTCGGGCAACCGAGATTTTACTCTTTAGGCAATCACCAATCAAATCTGATCAATCTATAGAAGCCATGCAACGCTGTTTGTTCGTTTTTGAAAAATCATCATTTCCTGAAAAAATCATTTTGCATCTTAATGCGATAATTTCCCGAAATCTACGCGAAGTGTAACGTTGCTATTTAGAAATTCCGACTTGTTTAACATGTTAGAGGATATATTAACCTAATAATATCACAAGTCTAGCCTAATCAAAGTCTAATCACTGTCTCAATTCTGTAATGATCTGATCACTTTTTTGACATTAGTAAAGTTTTGTTTATTTATTCAGTGTAGTTTTTTTGGTTTTTGGGCTTATTTATGATGTGTTTCGAAACTGGTTACATTGTTCTTTGACTTTCCTTTATTATTCTTTCCCCCCCCCCCTCCTACCCGCCTCTTACTCCCACTTTTGGTCCTTTCTTCTTTCCTTTTCCTTCCTTCTTACCGAACTAAATTTTTCCACACCTAATAAAAAAAAAAGTGTGGAATAAATTCCTTTATTTTTATTCCTATAAAATCTCTCAATAAAAAAAATAAAAAAAAAGGACAATACACATGAACTTTCTACCAACTGAATTACTTCACGGTATTTTTACTCTCCTTGGCAATGACCAAAAGTCCTTGTCTCGTGCATCGACGGTTTGTCGTCATTGGCGAGCCATTGTTCTACCTCTAATATATTATAGTCCTAAATTTAAAGACATAAATTGTTTTCGCAAATTTCTCAGGATCTCTTACAGTTCTGGCTCTTTAGTCCGTGAAGTTAACCTATCACATTTACCTCACCGGTGGACTGCCATCACTGACCCAGATATTATCAGTCTAGTTAACCTTTGTCCAAACTTAACTTTTCTCGATATTAACCGATGTTCTGCTCTTCAAGATTCAACTTTAACACATATTGCAAGTATTTTAGGTTCTCATCTCACCACCCTAATAGTATCTCAGTGTCCCAAATTTACTGATAGAGGGTTTACTGCTTTAGCTCGTTCTTGCAAAGCACTTACTTCTTTGGACTTTTCTTTCACTGATATAACTGATAAAGCTCTTTCTGAGATAGCTGTTACGTGTCCGACAATAAGATGGATAAATTTAAGAAATTGTGATGGTGTGACTGAACTGAGCTTGGATGAATTAAAAAAATGGTGTAAAGAATTAAAATTTTTACAATTAGATGGTTGTTATGGGATTTTAAGAGAAGTTGGATATGATGATGAAATTTGGGTAACCGAAGATGAGACTGATGATGAAGATGATGATATGGGCGAAATGTTGTGAAATTGGTTTGGGCTTCAACCAAATATTGGTGGAAAGTATAGTGGGAGTGGGATTAATGTATTATTATCATTGGACTATCGACGAATTCTTCCTTTTTTTTTCTTTTTCTTAATGCAATATGTTTTTGTGTGGAGGGATATTTTAGATCTTATCACTATTATAACGTTTAATTATAACGTTTTAATGCAAAAAACATTTGTATAAGTAGAAAATAATAGGGTTAGTTGGGGTTTAAAATATGTGCAGAGATGACAAGAACACTTTGGGTCTACTACTAATCACTGTATTGTTTTCTTTTATTCCATTTTTTTTTTTCATCATTGACTAGTGTTTTAAAACTAATAATAATAATTTTAATAATCATAATAATAATAGTAGAGCAAAGAAAAAACTTTGCAAAAATCAATATTTCCATTTATTTTTTTATTTTTTTTTTATTTTTTTTTTTTGCTTTATTTATTTTTTATTTTTTTTTTTAATTTTTTTTTAAAAAAAAATAAGAATCCTATATCTTTCTGTAAAATATGCATATTCCTACCTATATATCTAAAACGTATAATGTATGATTTTAGTAAATTAAACATCTTTTTTCTAAAACTCAATAATGTGTGTATGTATATATCTTTTTTTTTTCTTCTCCCTCACCGTAAGCATAAGTGTAAGCACGAATACCGAAATAAAAAAAATATATCATCGACAAACTTGTCTACATGCTTTTAATTTGAAATTAAACAAATAGAGATGTAAATTTTTAATGTTAGCAATTTTAGAATTTTAGCGTAGATCACAATGCACAAGATATATTTTTAATTATACGTATATTAGAATTTATTACCGTTACGGCATATTTGATACGCAAAGAGTGTGATGTTACGATGAAAAAGGAAAATTAATAATAACCATGAAGGAAATAAAGAAATGAATATCATCAATTGTTTAGGAAACAGTTGACTGATGACCGTACGTACGTGCGTGCGTACTTATCGTTACGTGTAAGATCAAAAAAAGCAAATGTTTATAACTGTATACTGGTATAATACAATTAAAAATAGATACGTAATATATATATATTGTATTAGATTGTACCCGTCAAGAAAACCTCTGCTCGGGTAATTACTGGTTTTCCGGGTAATTTATTATCGCTATATAAAATCTGTATTGCTGTATTGTATATACAGTATGATCGAGAAAATTCCATCATTTCTTAATACTAAACTTGTCTGAAATTTTGCTAAATTGCTTATAAGCTAAAAAAAAATTTAACTAAAAAAATTACTTACCAATTCTTGGTAAACTAGTATTTCAATTTTTACATTATTAATTAACAAAATTTACCAAAAAAAAAAAAAAAATTTTTATTCTTGTAAATTAGTTGTAAAAATTTTAACCTGTACGAGGGGTAAAAAAAAATTAATTTTCAAAATCATATGAAAATTAAGAAGATCATTACAAAAATTTTTTAAAAAATTTTATATAAATTTCAAAATTTTAATATTTTAAAAACTTATTAATAAAGATAAAAAAAAATTTCTTAATAAAGTTAATAGAATATGTTTTTAAATAATATATTCTACGGTATATATAAAATATATAATCCATATTATTAATATTTTTTTAGTTTTAATCAAAAATTATAAATATTTTTCAATATTCCAGCAAATTTGTCTGAAAAATGGGAAATATGGTTTAAGAGATATCATCATGACTATCATCATCTTGGCGAGTAAGACATATATTTTCTGTATTTTCTTTCCCTGAGGTAGCAAACCTGTTAAGAAAATTACCCAACCTCTCCGAAAAGTCCGGTAAAATATTTGCGAATGGATCCTCAATTTCTTCGTCTCCTACAGTTGGACTATAATCTTCCTGACTTATTTCGTAATCGTCGGATCGCAGAATGCTTACGGAAAATGGTGAGTAGTCTTCCATCTTTTGTTCATTGTCTCGTATTAAGCTCCTTCTTGAGTGTCGTCGGGCGAAGAGTGAGTCAGAGGATCGTTGATTGCAGTTTGATCTTTGGAATTGGTGGGCGGCCTATAAGTCAGTATTTTATTGTTCATTATTTTTTTTTTTTTTTTTTTTTTTTT